GATCGTAGCATTTCTTGATTAACTGGGCGTGATTGTAAGCCATACTAACAACAGCTGCAACTTGGTTCGACGCAGACAGTTTTTTTGTTGAAGATTACTCCTTGGTCGTTGTGGTTCTCTACTGCAGGTATGGTCTTAGTACCTAAGTACTAATCGAAGTCGGGGCTATTGTTGCCAATGTGCAAAACAGAACATTTTTCCATAGTCAAAGGTATATCCCATGTGTTGCAGCAGTTCTGCACGGACTCCAGGTCAGATTGAAGATCATCATGACTGGATAATGAATGTCCAAAAAACTTGCTATCGTCAGCAAAAAATGCATGGTCAGATTTCAATACTTCATATGCATAGGCAAGATATATTTGTTGGCCCCAATAGTGAACCCTGAGGCACTCCAGATAAAACTTGATGGGAGTTTGAGTGACTATATCAATAGGTGTTGAGGTGTCAAGATATTGAGTCCATTTTTCCAAGGAGTAGAGAAGGTTTGATGTGGTTGATCTTCCATGCTGGTTGGAAGGAATCTCATTGTTCTCGAGCAAAAATGGCAGAAGGGCATCAACAACTATTTTTTCATGGACGAAGAAACCCAAAGTCATCACACAAAATCTATGAAATACACCACTCCAGTTTGAGTTACCATGGACTTCTTCAAAAGCAACCATTTTTTCCATGAATTTGGCAGATATAGGTGCCAGTTTAATAGACCTATAGTTCCTGAGGTCAAGTTCATCACTTTTTTGAATGTTGGCGTAACTGAAGTAATTCGTCAGGACTTCGGCAGATATGACTGAGAAAATGAGAATTCAAAGAGGCCGTGAGAGAACTTCATAGAAACCACCTTTCGTGCGCTCCAAGAGATGAAAAAATGTTCGGAGAACATCATACGTACCTAGGGAAGATAGGAAGAGAAGGTAGGTCTTGGTTTTTCAAAACTTTTGGAGATAATGAGATCTTGGGAATATTTCCTTTGGCAAATAATTCCAAAGCTTTGCGTTCTTTAGACAAACGAGTTTCGATGAAGAGTTGTTCGACATATTTCAAGGTTGGCGACGTAAGGATGTGCTGGCTGGGCTTGTCTAGCTCGTCTGTCTGGTGTTGCTCTAGTGATGGAATAATAGCAGAAAATTATTTCCCGTGGAAATATCTATAAAAATGTGAAATGTCGCCGACTTTTCTACGGTGTTCCAATCATGTCAAAGAATTAGTGAGTGTGGCATCACCCACCAGGCGAATGGCGTTTTATGACTAGCTGTTCAGGTGTAAAGCAGATTTTCGCACGGAATAAAAAACCTAGTTTTAGGAGCTTTCGCGATGGATTTGACATGATTTTCCCAAGATAGAGTATTGCTGGAGGAAATATCGAGAATGGAATGATACCCAAGAGGTCTAGAGAACAAATTACGTGGAAGTACCTATAAAAAGGGGAAAGGCCGCCGACTTTAATACGGTATTCTGATGAATTGGTGAGTGTGACATCACCAACCAGGCAACTATACTTGGGTCATTGAGAATAACAACTTGAAACTACACTTTTTGTGAGAGATTTCATGAAAATGTCCTTCCAATGCCAACAGTTACGATGATTATTTCACACTGAGTAGATAATGAAAGATTAGGGCCAATTAAAATGCTTCATTGAGTTAGTGTCAGTGAACTCAAATAATATGTTGACATTGAGTGTCTAAAAGTATTTGTTAAATAATCGACCGGGTACAAATGGAGCCATCGAATTATCTGTAAAATTAGTCATTACTTGTCTAGGTTCAGTCTTGACGTAACATTTATTTTATCCTCTCGTATTTACTATAAATAATATTAACTATCATCTAAGGAAAATTGTTCATTGTTGGTTCTACCTACTATGGCCAGTATTACCATTAAAAAGAATCGGCCAATTACTATCAACGAAAAAATTGTGAAATCAAGAGAGTATTAAATGGAAAGAGCTAATTAAATACATGATTTTTATTATCTTGATATACCCTACTTATCTGACATGTTAATTATCGGTAAAGGCGAGTCATAAACATTGCCAAAAATTGGGGCCAGCTTCGATAAATAACTCAAGGAAAGTTAACATTTAGGCTTCTGCGAAAAAAAATCGAAAAATTCAACATCTCTACGATTCAGACGGCACGTAACATCAACTCCGATTAAAAATAATAATATAGGACTGAATTGCTATATCATTATTATCGTTGAAGAATGAATTAATAAGCTGTTTGCAATTCTAGGAAAAGCTCGCGGTAATCTATCATCCGCATGCCTACTTGCATAGTTGACAGCTAAAAGGAACTAAAAATGAAAAAAAAACCTCGTAATTTCCACAAAGTTTCATAGAATGAACAACAAGGGTAGATGACGGTACAAAGACAAATATTTTCCTGTTTCCTATCATCATCATCGAAAGAAACAATTGCATTAGTACTCTCAAGAAATGTGCTCCCGAACTAACACCTGTTCTCTGCAAGTTGTTCAACTACTCTTACAAATTGGGGATATTGCCGTCCAACTGGAAAATTGCAAGAGTACAACCAGTTCCTAAAAAGGGCAAGAAAACCCTACCTAGCAGCTACAGACCGATTTCACTGCTATCTATTATTTCAAAGATCATGGAGAAAGCTATCAACATCGAGCTCATGAAATACCTGGAACATTCAGGTATTATCAACGATAGGCAATATGGCTTCCGTCATCAGAGATCAACTGGTGACCTGCTCGCTTACGCCTCACATATATGGCAGCAATCTATTGAAAAGTATGGTGAAACCTTAGCCGTGGCACTTGATATCTCCAAAGCATTCGATCGAGTCTGGCACCACGGACTTCTCGCCAAGCTTCCATCTTATGGCTTGCCTCTCCAGCTATGTTCTCTGCTAGCTAGTTTTCTCTCAAACAGGTCTCTCCATGTAGTGGTCGACGGAGTTTCATCTGACTTTCTTATAAATGCTGGTGTTCCGCAAGGATAAATTTTAGCACCAACACTATTCTACTCCATATCAACGATCTGTTGGAAGCAACTTTATATCCAGTACACAGCTTCGCCGATGATAGTACCCTCCAGGGCTCCAATACCAGCCAGCCAAATCAGAAACGAACGGGGGAGAAATGTTGGAAACATAAATATGGCCTTGGCAACAATTCTCGAATCCAATACCTTGGTAGATTTCAATGCAAACAAAACACAAGCATGCCTTTTCTCTAGAAAAGCTGATCTCACTGTGCCCAACATAAGCTTTTCAGGAGCAACCATACCTTTGGAGACATCCATTTCGATGCTTGGTATTACTATCAGCAATTACCTTTCTTGGTAAAATCAATTGCTAAAAGTGCATCCCAAAAAATTGGTTTTCTGTTTCGGGCCACGAGGTATTTCACTTCCAGTCAGCTGCTTATGATCTATAAGGCACAGATCCGACCTGTCCTGGAATACTGTTCCCATATTTGGAGTGCAGCACCCAAACATACCCTGAAACTGTTGGATTTTGTCCAAAAAAAGGGCAATTCGTCTCGTGGGTGATGCCTCGCTCACAAACTCACTCACTTCTCTGGAACACCGTAGAAAAGTTGGCGATCTGGCTCTATATTATAGACATTTTCATGGACGATGTACTTCTGAAATATCAACAATTGTACCTCCCTTGGCAGTCCCCGCGAGATTAACCCGTCGAGTTGAGGCTTCGCACCTCTTCGTGGTCACTTTGAAGACTTGCAGAACATCCCTTTCCGAAGACTCGTTCATCCAACGAACAGCGAGGCTCTGGAACACATTGCCTAGGGAGGTGTTCCCCGAGGCATATAACCTCCAGAAATTCAAGAAGAACGCCAATTCCTACCCCATTTCCCTTGGTTCTCACGATGTTCTCTGAACAGGATATCCCTCTTCGTGGGAATCAGAACATGAAAAAAAATCGGATCATGATTTTAAAGTGGGTCAAAATAGAGTCCAAACGAGTCGGTTACATACATACATACACATACAGGAGGAGCTAATAAAAGAGTGTTAATAAAATGAATAGATGTAAATTATCTGGATTAAAAAAAAGCAAAATAACTGGAAGGTTGCTATTCAAACTTTTAGGGGTCGTTGCTCTGGCGGTAAAGGGGATGAATATAATATGACAACAAATACGTCAAAAGTTTTTCCTCATTTTCATAGCGTCATCAGTTTTCAAATTGTAATATGAAACACCCTGTCCTGTGTTAGAGTTGAAATGAAGGATACCCTGTATATTTATCGAATCAGAAATACTTCAAATTTTTTCTCATTTCTCGAGATACATGGCGTCACAACATGATTATTTCGATAAAAGATTCAATAGATCAACAACTGAAAAAATATATCCTCGTGAATATCTAAATAAGATAACGCATTTCATTGATTTGTCAAAGGAAACACAGATTTCTTTATTTGAATTGATTTGATCAGAAGACATCATTTGAATGGTGTTTTTCAAGTATGAAACATATTTCGGATTATTTTGAAATGCAGCAACCACGAAGTTATTATTTGAAAATTGTTTCGGCGATTCGGCAAATTCAATTCACTTGGCCCTTAACGTATCCCCTCTTATTCTCATTGCCCTTGGTAAACTAATAACTTCACTATTTATTATATTATTAAATAGGTAATAAAAAGATTTGATGAATAAGCAAGTGTTTTCGAAATACAGTAGTGATGACTTGATAAGACAATTTGAATTCGTAATCATCCACATATCAACCATGGGCGCACCCATTTCCTCTTCGCAAGGCTCTGATTTCCAAACTGTATCTTAAGAATTTTGTATAGATTATTAGAATTCAGTAACGAGAACCTTCATCCCCATTCATCTAAGTCTTTTTCTATTACACAGTTAATAACGAATTGTTAAAAATAATCGATTCTGGAAATTTCAACCCCTATAACACACTCCGTAGCTGCGCTCCTGACAACATCAATATCTGAGCATGCAAACAAAATCCCTCTGGCACACAATCTTGGATGCTATTGAAGCCTGAGTGGCTGAACCGTCTTACAATTTGTCCAAATTGTCGGTAAAATTTGAAATTTGTTTCAATGCAAACCTCTCTGTTGGCGCACACACTTGACATTGATAAGATAGATAAATCACAGCCGAGAAATCTTATTCAAAATGAGAACATGGAAGCAGTGTTCGACTCGTGGATCCATTGAAAAACCGCTACAGTTCTGAACGAAAACACCCTGTCAACATGGATCTCAACGATTGGTTCTCCGATACCTCAACAAGTGGTAGTTATGTCTCTACAGGTGATAGTCCTGGCTCAACAGGTGATAGTTATGGCTCAACAGGTGATAGTTATGGCTCCACAGGTGTCGGTCGTGGCTCTACAGGTGTTAGTGCGTCACGTGACGTCGAAAAGACTGCTAGGATAAGGCCCGGTGGGCTTCTGGCCAAGTTGGGATTGCCTTGTCAAGTCGACGAGCAGTACCAGTACGACCAGTGCTACAGCTATTATGCGAACGGGTGCTTCAACACCTGTCAGTTCGTGCAGCTCGGCGATATGGAGGATTTCATGTGAGTTTCGAATGTTTCGATTTTTTGCTTGTTTCGATGGCGCTGCTTTATCTTCGAGGTTATCTCAGACTGTCTCGATAACGGCCAGAGACATGGTTCCCCATTTTGAAGGAGAAATAAGAAAACTGCAGATTTCTGGACTGAAGGTAGATTGATTGGGGAGAACAACGTTGTTTAGTTTCGCCGCTAGATGGCACCAAAGTTGGCCGAATGAATGAACTCATGAACAAATCGAGGTGTCCTTTGATGTCCTCCTGAATATTTTTCCTTCTTTCTAAATTAAGTATTTTTAAAAATACTTGGGTTTGTTCCAGAAAAAATCATTAATTCTTTAAGAATAGGAATCTTTGCCTTTTTTGGCCTCCAGCTACAGGGGTAAATGTAGTCTCACATCTATTGCCCCTTACCTAGAACAATTTTCCCAAAAACAGTACACAAGACTTGATGTATGAACGAGGTCACCAGTTTTTTTTTTTTTTTTTTTTTTTTGAAACAGGACATAGGACATCAAATACTTTCATCTACTCGTATGAGGTGGAGAAAATCAAAATATCTACCTTATTCGTTCTTATCCTTTGAACATATGCAAATCGCATTTAAATTGGGAGTTCATCCAAAAAAACCAATAGTGAAGAGATATCCCTTAGTATCAATTTCACAAATAAACATTGCGAGTTCATTATTGTACATATATTATAGGAACTGCTGTCGCTCTGAGCTATGCGCGTATCTACAGTACATATCATTTTATTTTTTTCATTTCTTTTTGCTTACCTGTAATTTTTTTTCGAAATTTCCAAGAGCCAATAACAAACCGATATTTCAATTGAATTAAAATGATGATTCAGATGATTATTACAGACTAGTTCAAAAAGTTCAGACGGCTCCCATGCTAAACCTATTAGCTTTGGATAATATGCTGTCACTGACTTTCTTGTTGTAAATTTCATTTCCTACAAATCGATATAATACACTTTTAGTGTATCTCAGAGGATTTTAGCAGCGTTTATGTCTAAAGATAATCTGGACACACTTTAATGACGTTAGAAATTATATACCTACTCGAGTAGAAGTTATTACGCAGGAACCCTGACTGCGTATCAATTATTTTCAGCTAAGGAGTATATATTTCAGAAATAATCTCATATTAATGAGGATGAATTGATTTGAAAATATTTTTAAAATATAAAAATTAAAAAGAACAAAAAATATGTAGTTTTCATAAACACAATTATACTAAACGAAAAAATTCTGAAAATATTCAACATAATAAATGAGAAAAAATAACCATATATTACAAAATGAAGTGTACTTGAAACAAAATATAAATATCACAAACTAAAATATGGGCTCATAGCTTCATATTTATCCGAAAAGTCTGATGATTCTTCTTTTCTTATTATTTGACTGAATCCCTCTTCATTTCATTTTTCAATATTACGAAGCCCTGGAAGGGACACACAAAATAAAACTTCTAAATTCTGAGTTATAACTCGGAATTTTAAAATTCCGACTTATATCTCGGAATTTTACATTTAAAATTCCGAGTTATAACTCAGAATTTTAAAATTCCGAGTTATAACTCGGAATTTCACATCCAATATTCCGAGTTATAACTCAGAATTTTAAAATTCCGAGATATAACTCGGAATTTCACATCCAATATTCCGAGTTATAACTCAAAATTTTAAAATTCCGAGATATAAGTCGGAACTTCGAACACGGAATTTTGAGTTTTAACTCGGAATTTTGGATGTAGAATTCCGAGATATAAGTCGGAATTTTAAAATTCCGAGTTAAAACTCAGAATTTAGAAGTTTTATTCCCTTCCGGGCCTTCGTACAATATTCAATACATAGTTTTCAAAATATTAAAAGACCCACTACTGGAACAAGAGTAATAAAAGGTGCATTGCTCTTTACCTATAGGGGATTACCGCGAAATTGTTAATACGGGGAAATTAGTTAGGTATAATACTAGAAAAATTTTTTCGCGCTCTGTATTTCTAATTTATTTTCGACTCATTGTAGGTAGCTCAACAATTTTCGCACTATTTAATTGATGCATTATTCTAGTTTGACATACCCATTCAGTTTCATTTTTTACCGATTCCAAATTGGCAAAAAATAGTGTTCCGTAGTACAAAGTCCTGATTTTCATTAAAATCGAATTTCTTTATATCATAAATCGGTACTGGTTCAGCCTATTGAATTTATTTTTTTTACCGAAAGTTGGATAGTTCATCAGGGATCTCGATTGAGTGTGCTTCTGATTTTTGAAATAAATGAGCTATAACAATCTCTCGGTCTAAAACTACTTTCAACCAGTAACAGTCAGGTGAAGGATTGACTAACCAGGAATGAATGTCAGTACGGAGAAATTTACTATTTCTGGAATGGGTCCAAAGCACGAGGTAAGAGTCACATGTCCCGCCGAAAAAAATCACCCGGTGGATTATATGGTGATTCGCAGAAAAATTGCTTCAGAGAGGTCGGGAATTCCGAGGGAAATTTGTATTTCATCTGTTCTCTGTTATTGATACTGATACCCCGGAAAACGCTCGATGTTTCCTATATAATCGTTCGAAAGGTTGTTAGCATTTTTTCCACAATTACTTTCAATGCAATTCATGTAATCTACTTTACATCTATGTACAATAATTTCTGGACCACCCTGTACATAATGAACTTACTTAAACGAGTAGTGTGTCTTCCTTCAGCCTATCTTTCTTCTTATTTGAAGACTGACGGTATCGACATAATTTTTTAGTTAATTAGCTATACAGAAACCAATTTTTACATTTTAGAAAACTATTGCTTCATTCATGGTATTTTAACAATTTTGAAGCCGCCCCTGCGCTTATCGATAACGAAAGGGTCTGACATAATATCGAAAATTCAGCCTTTAGAAAACTGTTGCATTTTTTTCACTCACTGACCTCTCGGTCTAAAACTACTTTTAACCAGTAACAGTCAGGTGAAGGATTGACTAACCAGGAATGAATGTCAGTACGGAGAAATTTACTATTTCTGGAATGGGTCCAAAGCACGAGGTAAGAGTCACATGTCCCGCCGAAAAAAATCACCCGGTGGATTATATGGTGATCCGCAGAAAAATTGCTTCAGAGAGGTCGGGAATTCCGAAGGAAATTTGTATTTCATCTGTTCTCTATTATTGATACTGATAACCCGGAAAACGCTCGATGTTTCCTATATAATCGTTCGAAAGGTTGTTAGCATTTTTTCCATAATTACTTTCAATGCAATTCATGTTATTTGAATAATTACGAAGTAGCAATTACGGTGTTTTGTGCGTCGTTCTTCTAGATAAAATCCAATAGAAATGTGAGTACCTACCTACAGCTTGCGAATTATTGTGCAATGCTATGTAATAACTTTCCCGATTTGTTTGTGAATTCAGATATAATACGAGGGTTGTGCCATAGCACAGATAGCATAGTAAGATAATGATGACAGATTCTGAACCTGGAGTCTTCTAGTTTCTGCAATATAAGATTAAAATAACACTCTAGTTTACCTATTCAAAGTTGAGAAAATTGTTAGAGGATCCAAGACATAAAAAATAAAAAAAAAATAACCATTAATAATAAAAATAACCACGTGATGCATACAAAATTTCATGCACTAGTGGTTTATTTGTCAAAAGTATTAACTTAGATTTCAATAAACAACATTTCATATGTTACGTATGAATGCAGTAATCAAGAGAAGCGTAATGTCCAGGAAGAATTCACATATGTAAATTATCATATATAATACCACAAGTGATAATATTTTGCCGGAAATATTCGGTGATTGTTGCGACAGCTGGTTGCCTAGTAATTTCGTGAATGACATTGTTATCAAAACTACGAGTCGTAGGCGAGTAGTTTTGGATCAATGTCATGAGCGAAATTAGAGCAGCAAGCTGGAGTATGTCAATCGACGAATATTTCCAGGAAAAATAGTATCACGAGTTGTATTCGTATGACTATTTCATGATTGAATGAGACAATATATATAAGAAATAGGAAACATAATTTAAGTATATTCCAACTCGAACTGCGAAGAAGAACATAATGATAGTAATGAAATACAGAATTTACTTTTTTAGTAACTACCTACTTATAGTTATTCACAGAGTGGAATGTACAATTTTGATAAACAGTATTTTTTTTATTGTCTTGGAGATGGTTGCTCTCAAAAGAGTGTAAACAATTACTATCCAATTCGAACAAAACAAATTGAATTTATGTGACATGGAATAATTAAAAAAATATATATATCGTCGCCGAGGGCTCGAACCATCGACCTTCGTATCCTCGCTCAACAACCCTAACAGTTGCGCTACATCAGCTAGTAATTATATTAGTCAGTCACAATAACTTGAGTAATTGAAGAAGATTACTTCAAAAAGGAATTTGAATTCTATTATTGTTGTGTCAGACCGTCAACAAATATGCAAACTTTTTAAATTACACATGAAACGTCCAGCCAGAATAAAATTGTTTCGCCTTTCGTACAAAATATCTCACTAACGCATCTTTGCTAACGCGAATTATAAATAAATAAAATAAAGTAGGAACTTAGGTTATTGTCTCAGATTTGATTCCAAAGCAATCTTGACCAGACACGATGTCAAAATTGTATCGCTGATAAACGAGGTTAGTTGGTCACGTGTGGGTCAATTCGGCTTCTGTATTGGTAGAGCAAGTCCGATAAAATTTAATAAACAAAAAATATCGCTAGAATACAGAAGAAACCATGAAAATGGTCGATTCTGATTGGTTCTCAAGATCAAGAGTGGAATAGTCAATTATAATCCCCCTAGGGAATGAAATATTTGCTGGAAATTTCCCGCAATTCATTCATGCACGTGGGGGGGGGGTGGTTCGGTAAAAAAATGTTATACCGGAATTATATTTAAGAAGAAAATATTAAGTGGATTTTTACTCTCCCTGTACCCTGGTAAAATGAAATGTATAGTATCCGATACATTTATATAAAATAACTCATAGATATTTCTTAGTAGGTTTCCAGAAAATGAAAAATATTGTCAAAATTATTTGAATTTTGTTTTATTATATGATTGTAGTCATGTGCCAGAAAATTTCCACTTATTAATTTAACGTCTACATGCTCATGTGGGTGAAAATTTTTCAAAAAAGTTGATGGTTACCATAGTAAAAAATTGAAATAAAGCATCTGATGGGTTGAAAATGACTGGTATGAAATTTTCCTACGAATATCGTAATTATCGTAATAAGTAAAACTCTTTGTTCACCAAAAGGGATTCATTCCTCGAAACGTTACAAAATGCATACCCAGTATACAATATATACCTTCTTTTCTACTCAGATAGCGTTGCTTTCATATGGTCTATGAAAGACGCCTCTGGGGGGAATATAATGCCGACTTGATTTTTGTTTGGCTAGGCTACGCTTAGTCGGCGGTCTTAGGACTGCTGGCTGGAGACTGCCCTGCACTGATGAGAGTCAAAGAGCTCGAAACCGGTCTGTAGGTGTCTAGCGTGGTCTGGCTAAATCGAAATCTATAGGCATTCAGGAAATAATCACTTGTATCAGTATTCGTTTATACGAGTCGATGCATAGATTTCGGAAGGATGTAATTCAATGTTCTGCATGGCATTAGCCAGAAAACTAGTTGATTTTCTCTCGAAATCTACCATTGTTGTTCATTTCATGTGGAAATGACTGAGCTTTTTGTATTTATTCGATATGACTTTTGTCTAGCGATACTCACTTTATAAAAAAATCAAGCTACATTGTCATTCTGTGAGTGGAAACTACAGACAACAAGAAAGCAATAATCATTCGAAGAAGTGTGTTTCAGTAGAAATCAAAGAATCAGCTGAGAGTGCGAATATACCGCGGGCACTGAAGTACCACTTCACGTCCGCAAAACTGGGCGATAAGGTGCATTTTACCGCTCGCTAGTGCATAAAAGCAATTATGTTCAACAATTTCATGCTCCTGATAGGACATTCAAAGTCGTTATAGATATCGATCTTATGTGGTGTACATACTAAAGATAAAATTCATGACTGCTAGTTGACTGTAATTAATAATCAATTTATAATCTGACACGGGTGATAACTTGTTTGAGTGAATAGAAGTGACATTCCTGATTTGTTGTAACAATTTTCATGAATACATTAGTTGGGTCATAAGCAAATGTATATAGAGTGTCCCAAAATAATAGCACTGTATCATAAATACAGTATCTCAATTGAATTCTGTGATGAGCTGATAAGAATTTGATAAATAGAGTAAACATTGACATTTCGAGTTTTTTTCACCATTTCCTTTACTACACACATATTCTAAATAATTTTCATGTGGCTCTCCAATAGTGACCTTCAATGTTCCAGTTCCAGGTGATATGCAATGTCCCTAAAGCTTTTGATTCAAGCTGCACCACACATTTTGTATTATGAAAAATGAATTTTTCGATAGGGTGCCACAATTTTTCAAACATTTATGACAGATGATTCACGTATTGAAACATCCAAAATATTCATCCCCAAACATGGAAAACAACGTGATCGGTGCCTGAATGTTTCTCAAAACTCCTCAAAAATTCCTTACAAACCTTCGACGCGTTGTAAATCGTAGGATGATGATCCTGCAGGTTTGCACAAGAACAAAATATTCAAAGGTCAAAGAATTTTTCATTTCAATAACACATTTTTTGTATGTATAACATTTTTTGTTCAATTACTTGATTATTGGAAACCTTTTCTCCATAATAGCAAACATCAAATGTACTCCCTTCGTTTCAACGTACCTCGTCAAATGAGAAGACGCAACAAGAATTACTGTAATGTCATCGGCTCGCTTATACCGGCCCACTTAAGTATAAGACCGTGTTTCTCAGACGTACGGGTCAACACATATAAAATACAGGGTGAGTCATGAGGAAAGGTACACACTCCTACCACGAATAAAGGCCCTTGAGGGGAATACCTGATGAACATTAGAAAGCATCTTCTTCTCTTCTTAGGTATTTCTCACAGGGTTCCATATTCGTGGTACGAGTATGTACAGTTCCTCATGACTCACCCTGTATAATCACAGGAAACTTTCCCATTCGTTTCATGATGTTGAAATGTTGTTCGACTATATATTTTTTTTTATTTCAGGAATCATGAGCGCCGCAAGGAGAAGTCGAGAGACGCTGCCAGGTCGCGCAGGTCGCGTGAGACCGAAATCTTCACCGATCTGGCAAAAGTGCTGCCGTTGGCCAATGACCAGGTATCTTTGCTCGACAAAGCTTCGATCATGCGACTCGCCATATCTTATCTCAAGGTCAGGGAAATGGTCTCCCTAGGTAAGCATATTTGCTATTTTCGGATCGTGATTCATTTGCGGAAATACTATATTTCTGTATAAGACGTTTCAATAGGAACTGTATAGTTTTCAACTTTGAGTCAGGCTGGACAATAAAAAAACAGAACAAAATTTCCATGATCTTCTTCTCAAAGACCAATAGTCTCTGGTATCAGAGTTCTGGCTTTCATTACTCCAGAGCATGAAAAATAGGCAGGAACGCGTTCTTTTTGTTAGTGCTTCACCGTGATACACCATCAACCCTACCCCTCTGTCACTGTCAAATATCAGGATATTTTTAGTTATTTTCAAAGATTATTTTCTATTTTTATGTATCATGATAGTTCAACTCACAATAATTATAATAGGTTTGTTCTTGTTCTGAAAATAAACAGTACAAAACCATCAGGAGCATGCGCAGTTTCACAGAACTATTAGCATTTTTTTGTTCAACACATTACTTCGGTCTTTCATTTATGTAATTGTTAGAGATAAAAAAATTGAATATATCTTAATAAAAAATAACTGGGTGTGTTTTATTACTGAGAATCCTGATCTGGAAAAATAAGGGTTTTTAGGCAAAAGTTCATAGGAGTTTTTTTCCTTTTTTTTTCGCAAGGAAGATACCCTCTATAAGATTAGGAAAAGCATAATTATCATTATTTATCATCTTATGAAGTTGCTCCCCTTATTAGCAAGATATTGATCGAGTTAAAATAGCATAATAGTGTGAATGGTCCAAAATAAAAAAAAAAGACCTCATGAATTCAAATGAAATTAAACCAATCATGATTTTTTTTTCAGTTCCTGACTTGGGTGAATTAGAAAAAAAGAATGACACCGACGGATCTGTATTCTTGAAATCCCTTGACGGTTTCATTGTGGTTTTGTCTGTGGATGGAGATTTTATCTATTTATCAGAAAATGTCTGTGACTATCTAGGACTCTCCCAGGTTGGTATTCTTTTCTGAAAAACATAAGAAATAATGAATTTCAAAACAAATAGCAGTACAGAGCTGTTATTTTTCATTTCATGAACATCTTCGACTAGAGTATTTTTTTATGTCGGGTTATTATTATGCAATATTCATGATATTGTTGAGGAATAATAATCCTATTGTAAAGATTTCATAAAAATATTATCTACTGTGGGATTAATAGAATTAGTCATATAACGATAATGTTAGATAGTATACGGGGTGGATATTTCGGTAGTGGGGAAGTGAAAATTCGCGAGAGACGTCAACGTTGTAATGTATTCACCTACATTTTGTGAGCAAGAATATAACCCTTCAGGGGTAGCTGAAATCAACCTCAACATGATTCTTTCAAATGCAACCCTATGGTTTGTGAAAATTTAAAAGAATCATATGATATATGACCTTTCACTGGTGGGCAGAGCGTGTTCAGGTGTTCAAAGATGAAAAAAAAAACAGTCACATATCGAACTTCGGGAAATTTTTCAGATCGATTTGATGGGTCAGAACATATTCGACTACAGCCATCCTTGCGATCACGAGGAGATCCGAGAAAGCCTGTCGGGAAAGACGAGGGATGGGGCTGATGTGCCCAAATCCATGTTCATCCGCATGAAATGTACTCTCACTAGCAAAGGAAGATCTGTCAACCTCAAATCTGCTATTTATAAGGTCAGTTGATTAATTCTTCATTTATTTAGCAAAAGTTAATATACAAGTCAATGTAATATAAAAACAGGCATAATATCTAAACAAACAAGGAACATCCAGACACTTGATTCACAAAGGACCCGCACGAAAACACGGTAAATTGGCTCACGGTCGAATTGGCTGAAATTTGACTATGTTATTGTGGGATGGCTCATTAGAAAAATTTGTGAGTTTGGAAAGTTTTGTATGTTTAGTTTCTGAGATATAAGCCTACAAAGTTCGTGAAAACGTCTTATCGGGGTAGGATTGACGAAGAAAAAAACTGTTTAAATCTGACATCAAATTCTTCCTTTATGGGTCTGAACTAGTGTCTTTTCATTTTTTGGAATTTCTGGGACAAACAGGAAAAAAATATTTTTCCACCTGTATGAGCCTATTGCATTGCGTGAACCCCAAACTTTGAAAATCTGAATGGAGGGTTCTGCACTGAATCTGACATCAAATTCTTCCTTTATGGGTCTGAACTAGTGTCTTTTCATTTTTTGGAATTTCTGGGACAAACAGGAAAAAAATATTTTTCCACCTGTATGAGCCTACTGCATTGCGTGAACCCCAAATTTTGAAAATCTGTATGGAGGGTTCTGCACTGAATCTGACATCAAATTCTTCCTTTATGGGTCTGAACTAGTGTCTTTTCATTTTTTGGAATTTCTGGGACAAACAGGAAAAAAATATTTTTCCACCTGTATGAGCCTACTGCATTGCGTGAACCCCAAATTTTGAAAATCTGTATGGAGGGTTCTGCACTAAATCTGACATCAAATTCTTTCTTTATGGGTCTGGACTAGTGTCTTTTCATTTTTTGAAATTTCTGGGACAAACAGGAAAAAAAATATTTTTCCACCTGTCTGAGCCTATTGCATTGCGTGAACCCCAAACTTTGAAAATCTGAATGGAGGGTTCTGCACTAAATCTGACATCAAATTCTTCCTTTATGGGTCTGAACTAGTGTCTTTTCATTTTTTGGAATTTCTGGGACAAACAGGAAAAAAATATTTTTCCACCTGTATGAGCCTACTGCATTGCGTGAACCCCAAATTTTGAAAATCTGAATGGAGGGTTTTGCACTAAATCTGACATCAAATTCTTCCTTTATGGGTCTGAACTAGTGTCTTTTCATTTTTTGGAATTTCTGGGACAAACAGGAAAAAAATATTTTTCCACCTGTATGAGCCTACTGCATTGCGTGAACCCTAAATTTTGAAAATCTGAATGGAGATTTTTGCACTAAATCTGACATCAAAGTCGTCCTTAATGGGTATGAACTAGTGTCTTTTCATTTTTTGGAATTTCTGGGACAAACAGGAAAAAAATATTTTTCCACCTGTATGAGCCTACTGCATTGCATGAACCCTAAATTTTGAAAATCTGAATAGAGGGTTCTGCACTAAATCTGACATCAAATTCTTTCTTTATGGGTCTGAACAAGTGTCTTTTCATTTTTTGGAATTTCTGGGACAAACAGGAAAAAAATATATTGTTCCACCTGTATGAGCCTACTGCATTGCGTGAACCCTAAATTTTGAAAATCTGAATGGAGATTTTTGCACTAAATCTGACATCAAAGTCGTCCTTTATGGGTATGAACTAGTGTCTTTTCATTTTTTGGAATTTCTGGGACAAACAGGAAAAAAATATTTTTCCACCTGTATGAGCCTACTGCATTGCATGAACCCTAAATTTTGAAAATCTGAATAGAGGGTTCTGCACTAAATCTGACATCAAATTCTTTCTTTATGGGTCTGAACAAGTGTCTTTTCATTTTTTGGAATTTCTGGGACAAACAGGAAAAAAAAATTTTTTGCACCTGTATGAGCCTACTGCATTGCGTGAACCCTAAATTTTGAAAATCTGAATGGAGATTTTTGCACTAAATCTGACATCAAAGTCGTCCTTTATGGGTATGAACTAGTGTCTTTTCATTTTTTGGAATTTCTGGGACAAACAGGAAAAAAATATTTTTCCACCTGTATGAGCCTACTGCATTGCATGAACCCTAAATTTTGAAAATCTGAATAGAGGGTTCTGCACTAAATCTGACATCAAATTCTTTCTTTATGGGTCTGAACAAGTGTCTTTTCATTTTTTGGAATTTCTGGGACAAACAGGAAAAAAAAATTTTTCCACCTGTATGAGCCTACTGCATTGCGTGAACCCTAAATTTTGAAAATCTGAATGGAGGGTTTTGCACTAAATCTGACATCAAAGTCGTCCTTTATGGGTATGAACTAGTGTCTTTTCATTTTTTGGAATTTCTGGGACAAACAGGAAAAAAATATTTTTCCACCTGTATGAGCCTACTGCATTGCATGAACCCTAAATTTTGAAAATCTGAATGGAGGGTTTCGCACTAAATCTGACATCAAAGTCTTCCTTTATGGGTCTGAACTAGTGTCTTTTCATTTTTCGGAATTTCTGGGACAAACAGGAAAAAAATATTTTTCCATCTGTATCAGCCTACTGCATTGCGTGAACCCTAAATTTTGAAAATCTGAATGGAGGGTTTTGCACTAAATCTGACATCAAATTCTTTCTTTATGGGTCTGAAGTAGTGACTTTTCATTTTTTGGAATTTCTGGGACAAACAGGAAAAAAATATTTTTCTACCTGTATGAGCCTACTGCATTACGTGAACCCTAAATTTTGAAAATCTTGATGGAGGGTTTCGCACTAAATCTGACATCAAATTCTTTCTTTATGGGTCTGAAGTAGTGTTTTTTCATTTTTTGGAATTTTTGGGACAAACAGGAAAAAAATATTTTTCCACCTGTATGAGCCTACTGCATTGCGTGAACCCCAAATTTTGAAAATCTGAATGGAGGGTTTTGCACTAAATCTGACATCAAATTCTTTATTTATGGGTCTGAACAAGTGTCTTTTCATTTTTTGGAATTTCTGGGACAAACAGGAAAAAAAATTTTTCCACCTGTATGAGCCTACTGCATTGCGTGAACCCTAAATTTTGAAAATCTGAATGGAGGGTTTTGCACTAAATCTGACATCAAAGTCGTCCTTTATGGGTATGAACTAGTGTCTTTTCATTTTTTGGAATTTCTGGGACAAACAGGAAAAAAATATTTTCCACCTGTATGAGCCTACTGCATTGCATGAACCCTAAATTTTGAAAATCTGAATGGAGGGTTTCGCACTAAATCTGACATCAAAGTCTTCCTTTATGGGTCTGAACTAGTGTCTTTTCATTTTTCGGAATTTCTGGGACAAACAGGAAAAAAATATTTTTCCACCTGTATGAGCCTACTGCATTGCGTGAACCCTAAATTTTGAAAATCTGAATGGAGGGTTTTGCACTAAATCTGACATCAAATTCTTTCTTTATGGGTCTGAAGTAGTGACTTCATTTTTTGGAATTTCTGGGACAAACAGGAAAAAAATATTTTTCTACCTGTATGAGCCTACTGCATTACGTGAACCCTAAATTTTGAAAATCTTGATGGAGGGTTTCGCACTAAATCTGACATCAAATTCTTTCTTTATGGGTCTGAAGTAGTGTTTTTTCATTTTTTGGAATTTTTGGGACAAACAGGAAAAAAATATTTTTCCACCTGTATGAGCCTACTGCATTGCGTGAACCCCAAATTTTGAAAATCTGAATGGAGGGTTTTGCACTAAATCTGACATCAAATTCTTTCTTTATGGGTCTGAACTTGTGTTTTTTTATTCTTTGGAATTTCTGGGACAAACTGGTAAAAAATATTTTTTCACCTGTATGAGCCTACTGCATTGCGTGAACCCCAAATTTTGAAAATCTGAATGGAGGGTTCTGCACTAAATCTGACATCAAATTCTTTCTTTATGGGTCTGAACTTGTGTTTTTTTATTCTTTGGAATTTCTGGGACAAACAGGAAAAAAATATTTTTCCACCTGTATGAGCCTACTACTGCATTGCGTGAACCCTAAATTTTGAAAATCTGAATGGAGATTTTTGCACTAAATCTGACATCAAAGTCGTCCTTTATGGGTATGAACTAGTGTCTTTTCATTTTTTGGAATTTCTGGGACAAACAAGAAAAAAATATTTTTCCACCTGTATGAGCCTACTGCATTGCGTGAACCCTAAATTTTGAAAATCTGAATGGAGGGTTTCGCACTAAATCTGACATCAAAGTCTTCCTTTATGGGTCTGAACAAGTGTCTTTTCATTTTTTGGAATTTCTGGGACAAACAGGAAAAAAATATTTTTCCATCTGTATGAGCCTACTGCATTGCGTGAACCCTAAATTTTGAAAATCTGAATGGAGATTTTTGCACTAAATCTGACATCAAAGTCGTCCTTTATGGGTATGAACTAGTGTCTTTTCATTTTTTGGAATTTCTGGGACAAACAGGAAAAAAATATTTTTCCACCTGTATGAGCCTACTGCATTGCATGAACCCTAAATTTTGAAAATCTGAATAGAGGGTTCTGCACTAAATCTGACATCAAATTCTTTCTTTATGGGTCTGAACAAGTGTCTTTTCATTTTTTGGAATTTCTGGGACAAACAGGAAAAAAATATTTTTCCACCTGTATGAGCCTACTGCATTGCGTGAACCCTAAATTTTGAAAATCTGAATGGAGGGTTTTGCACTAAATCTGACATCAAAGTCGTCCTTTATGGGTATGAACTAGTGTCTTTTCATTTTTTGGAATTTCTGGGACAAACAGGAAAAAAATATTTTTCCACCTGTATGAGCCTACTGCATTGCGTGAACCCCAAATTTTGAAAATCTGAATGGAGGGTTTTGCACTAAATCTGACATCAAATTCTTTCTTTATGGGTCTGAAGTGGTGTCTTTTCATTTTTTGGAATTTTTGGGACAAACAGGAAAAAAATATTTTTCCACCTGTATGAGCCTACTGCATTGCGTGAACCCCAAATTTTGAAAATCTGAATGGAGGGTTTTGCACTAAATCTGACATCAAATTCTTTCTTTATGGGTCTGAAGTAGTGTCTTTTCA